ATATCATCACCGTTCCATCATCGCAGTGCACAGCACCCGCACATTCGGAAGAACTCAATGCATTGGACGACACGTACTCAACAGAGGAGGAGTCACAGGGTTATTCGGACACGGATAACTCGGATGTTGACCTTCTCCAACGAGTGACGGAGAATTGGGATAAAGATGAAGATGATGACAACGATGAGGATGACGAAGTACCCTCCTTTTATTCAGAATCAGCGCATAGCTCCTCAGGATCGGAGACGGAGGAATCTAGTGACTCGTTCGGAACGAACGAGTCCTAGAGAAATATCTATGGTGTAGAAGGGGATTTCCACCGCTCAACCACGAGCATTGAACCCTTAGGGACCGTGGGTCCCGACAGACAGTTGAGGCCTAACCGGCGCAGGGTGGCACAGGTTCTCTACGGACACCTGAGTCCAGGGGGAGTGCGGGTCGGAAGCCGAACACAACGAGTGACTTTTTTCGGTGTAGCGGAGGCCCAATCGATCCTGTTTTAAAGCAGAAGGGAGACCCTCATACTCGATCTTGTGGAAGGAAGGGGATACCAAGGTTCAGTGTCTCATCGGGATGAATGAGCCTTAAGGAGGGGGTAATGTTACGATTTATTCTTTTCTTTTTCTTTTTCTTTTTCTTTTCTTTTCCCTTCCTTACTCAGCCGGATTACGCACAGGCGATCATCATGGACTGACTCCCACAGTACTATTTTTAGTGTACCAATGTGTATTTAAGTAGAGCCTCAGCTGGTCTAAACCCCAGCTTCGGCTAAGGTTTAATCTACCTAATATTGAACTCTGTCCTTCGTGACTATTTGTCCCATCGACTTTCATCGCCTTTGGCCTGCTAGAGTATCGTCTACCGAAGTGCGAGTAGTGATCCTAGCACGATCTAAGTCAATAGAGTTAGTGGCTAACAATCCATCCAGTCATCAGAAGCCGATGCTAGATTACAGGAATCAGTATTGTACTCAACATACAGTCAATATTCAGGGTTAACCTTTGAGCTTCACTGAGGCAACTGAGTTGAGGATAACCCCCATGTCGGATGATGTTGATTGGGCCTGTAAGCGCTCACGATACTCAAGAAACTGAAAGTTGATATCAATCACGTGTACACGAGGGAGACAGATTCATGTTGACAAACCACTTTCCGCAATCGAGTCATGGCATTGTCTATCCATGATGAGTCCCATGCGACACTCAGATAGTCCAACTTCCACGTAGGATCGAGAACTGATACATGAGACAATTAGCAGATGTGGGCATGTAAAGACAAAATGACTGACCATGAGAGCCAAAATATATTATGGTATCGTCCGTAGCTCGATACCACTTCTGCATATTAACCAAGCCAGCATTAAGCGCAGGCCAGATGAGCTCATACTTGGGATCTTCAGACAGCTCCTCCCATCGTGACTGCAGACGCTCAATTATCGGGTAGACTTTCTGACAGGTGGGAGTCTTTTCTGCTGACAGTTCACCATGGCTCGACGCAGATATCTGTAATGCACAAGGTATTAGCATAAATAGGCATATGATAGTCGTACAAACAAACCCTGAGTGCATGCGCTGCTAGGCTGACAGTATCCCACTCTTCGCTGGTCAATTTATAATCAGAGAAATGTTTGCTGCCAGTAAGTGGTGGAATATCGGGATTTGAATCAGCTAGTACACAGAAGACGTCCATGGGCTGTCTCAAAATGAGTACAATTATTAGGGGATAGAAAAGCGATGCATACCTTTCGAATTTCCAACATGCGATCAAAACAGTCGCTCATGCTCCCCCATCGTGTCCGAACCCATGTTTTCATCTGCAGGACGGAGCAGCCATTTGTCCTGCATAGCTCCAAAAGATACTCCAGTGCCTGGTCGCCACCGCCATTCACCTCAGCTATGAAGGCGAGTAGTTTTCCAACAATATCTCCAGGTGTGAAATCCGTGGACGTGTTGATCGCTTCAACATCATTCGCATTGGCCTCGATCTCCAAGCTAGTGTCGATGTCACAGTCAAAGGTCACATCATCGGTATTAGAGTCAGATTGGTGGATATGCCGTCGTGTTTGCATGAGAGAAGGGATTTGAAGGGCGAGGATAAAGTGGCCGGACATCAGATGGATTGCGTGTTCAAAACATCTAGGGAATTTCCTTGTCAGAAGACGATGTGAACAATAGAAAAGAATACACACCGGCCTCGCATTTTCTTTGCTTTGAGTCGCTCCCGAGTGGGATCAAATGTACCACAGAGATAGCGTATCGCACAGTCATTGACTGTAACATTATCGCACACAAACCAACCAAGCTATAGATAACTTAGACAGATGTGGAAATGAAAATAGAGAGTATCTTACACGATCTTGGAAAGAAAACCTCTCAACAACCTTAACTAGCTCCTTACCCACCGCTTCATCAGTATGATGTCCATGCATCCGGTCAAAGGCCAGGAGTTCACTTCTCAGTTTCCACGAGGTCGGGTCTTCCGGTGGGGAGTCGATCCAATGTATAGTAAAGGAATTGTATGGCCGGCGACGATGCATAGTCCACCCATCAAATGTGCAAGATATTCGAGACGTAATGTCCTAGCCACTGGTGTCAGTTCACATCCATAATGTGTAGAAGGAACTGACGCACCTTTACAATAGAACTATCTATTCCATCCAATACGTCAACCTTCTTCATCACAAGGTCGCTCATGTACGTCTTCTTGGGTATTTCAGTCTCCTTCATCTTTGGGCATAGGTAAATAAGAAGACGATGGAAAGAGGGTCGGTCAGCCAATAGGAAGGGCTATGGCTCTTGTCAGTACTAGTAGGGAGGTAAGGATAGTCGCATACGCACCAGGTCAGCATCGGCAAAGAATTCCATAATATACTCCCCCAATCCCTCTTTGGTCACTGGTGGTGGTGGCGATGCCTTCACGACGGAAAAATCTTTGATTCCGGTTTGCTGCCTGATAGATTACTTCAACAAAAAATCTCTTCGCAGGACAGAAAAACTGCTTATGAGTCAGAGGTTCCTTTCCAGCCTTGGGGCACTGAAGCTTTAGGCTTGACCTGAAAACGAGTACATAGATCTAGGTACTCTCGGTAGTGTTTTCTAAATTAGAGAATAAGAATACGACACACAAGAACTAAAATGAACATACCGTGTGATGTGTGACCATTGCGCTGTCACATTCCCAGTCATGAAGGACTCGCTCTTCGTTCGTCCTTTTTTTCTGTGCCCAGCTTGTCAATTAGCCTGTGCTGGGTAAAATAAAGGGACGTACAGGCATAGCTGGCAGTACTGACCAGCGGTAGCCTTCTCCTTGATAACCCGAGTGTCCTTCTTGAAGACAAGTCAGATGTCTTGGGTCTCGGAGGATTTTTTCCGTTTCCCCTGAGAACCGGGTAAGTCGGAAGCAGTATAATGGCGTAATTTCTGAAATACCTTCCCACCACTTGCATCCCAGTAGCGCCTTTCACCTTCATCCATCTCTGACTGTTCTCCTTCTGACTCATTAGTCCCTCCATGGTCTTTCGGGTTCGTTTCTGCTGGTTTTTTTGCGGGGCCGGGGAGTGAGTTGGCTTCATTTGCGAGATCAACGTCGACAGGCCCAGACTTCTGGGATCAATGTGAGAAGTCAGTTTTAATCTAACCATATTTATGGACGTACACGGTGCCGCTTTGCGTTTCTATGCTCGATTTGAAGCTCGTCTTCGTCCAAGTTCAAGTTGTCAGAGTCTGGAGTCACAGCAATAAGTATTATTTAAAAGCTAACGCTTGTCAAGGACAATAAAAACTGACGTTCAGCGCTAGGTGAATGAGCCCACTCAATGTCCCTTGCTTCTTTCAGCATTCCGTTTTGATCAACAGCGTCTCCATTGGGTTTAGATGGATCCTTGGTGACCGGAACGTCATCTACTCAGAGTATGAGGTACGTGTCATTCAGGATCGATGATCATACCATTCTGATTGATGCCACGGATAATTGTGTGCTCGATATTGTTCTCATCAATGAGTTTGCCGGAAGGCCCTCGTTTTCGTGGTCCGGCGATTATTTGATTGGGATCGACTTCTTGACGAGGTGCCATGATCTTGGTCAACTATAAGATATTATCGATGCAATAAGAATTGAGCGGATTGGTCGTATAGTGGCTGAAAAGTTTATTCAGATTAAATGTATAGCTACCTTGAAATTATACTTTGCTTACCCATTTGGCAATCATTTGCATACAGGTTCACTGGGTTCAGATGAGGTTCGAACCTTGATAAGAGGTTTGCCATTAACAGAACCTGAACCTGCACCTTTTGGTGCAGGTTCGGTGCAGAACAGCCACTGAACCTGAACCCCAGGTGCGGTACAGGTTCGGACCGGGTTCGTAAGGTTCATGGACCGGACCATGGAAACACTAATCAATCTGATGCATAGACGACTCACAGTCTCACCATGTCGATTTGTCTTCTTCTCTCGAAACTTCTTCCTGCCTTGGCCAGCCTAATACTGCATCACTCAGACACGCACCCCGATGACTAGCGCAGTACACTCAGTGTTATGGTGCCTGGTCCATCTAATGTCCGGTAGATGTCGCTAGCTTGCTTACAACAGGATGCCCTCAATATCGCATCTCCCTTCATTGTAATATTTCTATAGATGGAACAGCAAGGTGGTCACCCTGATTTCGGGTATTCGTATTTGGAGCTGGAAAGTTATTGGCACATGCCTAACACCAAGCCCTGACACAGGTACAGGACATTCGCTGCTTCCCCTTTATCGTCGCCATCTTACTTGATATTGCAGGCTCGACGAACTCTGAGATCTGATTAGTTGAGCGTGTACAACCCAATTTCCATTCCATGCACCTAACATTCCCTTGAGACCGACCCCATTCTTGCTTTCGTCCCATATACATTGTGGTAGTACGAGTTGCCACACTCGTAGACTGGACGTCTCGGGCTGGCTGACTCATACTATTGAGATTCGAGCAAGGGAGGGAACGAAAAGAGCAACTCGTTTAGCCTATGTACGTCGACGTGGAGGTAAACGGTAAAGAAAAGAAAACTGCGGGTACGGTATGTAATGGGTTCGGAGCCGGTTGATTCCGACGGCTCGTACAGCCACAGTAATTCCAACACATACTTCCTTTTTCGGTTCGATACGTGTCTTTCCTTCCTTCCACCATCATGTACTCCGTTTTGCTGCCATTCTCCTTTACAGATTCATATTTTCTTCAACGCATCACTGTGTAGCTCTGGGATCAATGAGCACGCATTCCTCATACTTCTGCCTTTGGGCATCAATGCTCAAGACCAAGACACCAACGTTGAGGTAGCTCACCTCACCAACAAAAGAGCTGTTTCGAACGCTGGCGGAAAGATTGGTACTGGTTGTATGAACGTTGTATAGATATATTGGTTCGTTTTGTCTTCATTTTCCGTTTCTGATTTCCTTTCTTTGAGTTTCATCATCAATCCCCTCCCTACCCCATCCGACGCGAAGACCAACGCCAATGGCGGACGACATCACCTCGGAGCACGCTGGGAATCGAGAAACGACGGCATGGGCCACCGTTCGTATGCTGAGCAGGGCAGCACCTCTTCCTATGCCGTAGTTGCGCGTATCCCGGGTGGTTTAGTCTTGCTTGCGGTCGAGGTAACTGAGCTAGGTATTCGCTTTCTTCTGACACATTTTGTTATAGAATATATCTACATACACGAATCTATCAATTACGGGCTCTGGCGACGCAAGAGAACGTGTGCGGCTACCCCCTCTTCCACATTTGTATCCGATTGACATGGAAATTTGATTTTTACCTTTCCTGCCTTACACCACGAGCACTGAGCCATCGAGCGAGCCCCCGAGCCTTCAGAATTGAGCCCAGTAAGTGGTCTCCTTGTTCCTCATACTGATTTACTATTTAGATACTTCTCGTATCAATAAACACGCCAATTCTCGTCCACACCCGGCCGATTCGCAAGCAACTCACGACCTCGCGTAACCGTCTACGTCCGCTTCGACGTATACTGCGACAACGTCTATCTCCAAACTCAAATCTCCGAATCTCGTCGGCGTTTCTCTCCCTAAGATCGATTGATGGCGATCTTAGGGTTACATCTCCAGCACCTATGCGCTGGTTTTGACCAACACCATCTTCTGCATTGTGGTTCTTAAGTATACGTTCTGCTTTCCTAATGGAAAGGTCACTGGTGAGCTGTACATTCATTTAATAGAACCAGTACTGTAGCTCAATGGCAGATCGACCCCGTCTGGTCAATCCTATGTACTGACATGATCGTGGTTCAAATCCGCGCGGTAGCTCTGATAATAATATCTCAAAGATTGTTTTCTTTTTGGCTACTTTTGTGAACGCTAATATCCCCTCGTGCGAACGGTGGATCCGCCGTGCTTAAACACCACATGACTTGATTGCATAAGGTCGATCCGCCGAAAAACTGACCGTGGTACTCTCTCGGACGACAGAGAACGTAATTCTGGGGGGGAAATGGTACTCAGGAGTCAGGATGCATGTATACCTTGTGAATTAATTTTCCCCGACTTTCAGGAACCTGCCGTTGTAAGAATTCTTTGCGAATTTCCCATCACGCTTTATTACATGTACGTCTTCGCAGCTCAGGAGTCGACATTTCGCAGGACTTCCGAACTGCCCGCTCAATACCTCTGATTTCGAGCATCATTTCTCACCAAATACCAACGAGACAGTGGTGGAATCTTCGATATCTTCAGATTCATGCCTACTAGGGGGGATGAGACGTTTCTCCGGAATACTTCTTCACCTGCCATATCGCTCAGTGGTCGAATGGTACAAACGGAGAAGTTCGAATCCCCCCGATTGGCAAGTAATGCCAAATAGGGTCTACGCACTATCTTTTTGGTGGCTCCATATGCGGCCTTCCTTTGATATGTGCATAAAATGACCAACGTTGACTTCACTAATTTTCTTCAGTGTTCAGATTCTCATTAAATAAGAGGAAGGATTATATCATACGGAAGCAGCAACGCAGTCAAATATGGAAGTCCTCTTTGTGATATCACTGCCATCATCTGTTACTGGTAACGCGTCTACAACTGGTACGATTCGAATCCTTCCAATGGCAATCTCATATCATAGGGTGCGGCATATCCTGCACTATATTTTTGCGGACGCACCTCTAATCGTTTCCCAAACGTTCGAGAATATAAAACTAGCAGTGCGGAAACCGCTATGCACCCAAAACCTTCCTTAGATAAATCCCGCGGTCATCTGTAACAGAGAGCTCAGCTGTTGGAGTCCAACGTCGTTCCAGAAATCAGAAGAGATTAAACTACCAGTGCGCTAAGTCCTGCCAGCCAGAACAACTGACGGATTCTAAATCCACGTCTACGCCGGGTCATCCACCGTTGACAAGCTCTAGCTTGTCAAGTCAGTACATGGCGTATATGCCACCGTAAATAAGCCGTGGACTGCTAAAGGCCCTGGTTCGAATCCGGGCAACGGTATTAGAAGTCAGTGGGATGACTATTTTTTAGTTATGATCAGTGTCGATCGAGTTGTATGAAGTATCGTCGTGAAATCGATATTCCATTAATTCCTCATAGCCATCTGGTCGTACTAACACGTCTACCAATAGGACGGTTCGAAGCTGTCCACTGTTCAGCCAGAAAGCACCTATTTATATCAGATTCACGAGTTCCGCAGGATTTCTTCTTGATTCTCTTTGCTGTTTTGTAGAGCGGTTGGGGAAACATCATTTCTTCTTGTCGGTGCTATCTGGAAATTCGCTAGCCCTTCTTCTCGGTGCTCTTATCGCGTTCTCTATGCACAAAATGACGTGCCCTCATAGATCAGAGGTAGGGTCTGAAGTACCCTAGTTCGACTCCGGAAAATGATATTCTACGGCATGAGATACCCTATTTTTTTGTCCAATGTTTCCAGAGGGGCCGGAGTAAGGGTTTGATTGCCGATCCTGGGAATTTCAATTTCGGGACTCTTTTCTCTCTTACCACTCCCATGCGCCACGGTCGAATCCGCACCGACCACCTCCATCGACTCCAACACCGTTATACCGTGATGCGCAAAGGGTGAAGAGCTCTGAACGTTACGTGGAACAGTCGTCTTGAATGTGAATCCAGGAGCATTGTTCATCAGGGTGTCGTCACGACAAACATCGACGGCTCTCTGACCTCATCGCCGACTGCCTTCATTTCAAGGCCAAGCTGTTCGGAAGACATGGAGAACTGTCTTTGGGCTGAGATCCGCTGATGCTTGTGAGCAGTTGCCTATCTGAATAAGCTCACTGCTGACGTTGATTATATGCCCATTCTAGAGCCATCTACTCTGCCCTTTTCTGCGCTATTTTTTACGCCCCTTCATTGTCTGCATGGTATGTTAGCTCTCTTTTGGTGTTACTCCAATGCTAATCCTTACGCTTCAAGCAGGAGTGAACGTGCTACGACGTGTGGACCTAATATTGCTTCGGGAAACTGGAAATTGGCAGTCAAGGTCATTGTGGGTTGATTAACAGTATTGGAAGGCCCGGCGCAGAGCTCTACTTCTCGTCAGTTCTCCCTTCTTATGGCTGGAATATTTTACTGATATCCTCGTTAGGTACATTCACGGACAATGATATGACGACAAGTCCGATTTCCAACACCTTCATTCACGAAGGTATTGCGTTGTTTTCGGCTCGCAACAACTATCCCTATCTTGGGTCCACATGCGCTCGGGACAGAGAGATATGATAGGTGTGATGCGGGTGAGCAATAGCGTATCTGGTAACTTTTTTTATTAAAGACCTTTGACTAGACACCGAGCGTTATCAACACCCTTTTCCTCCTTCCTGATTGGGTCTCAATGCTCATCCAGCAGTGCTGCATACACATCCTCCTGGTCCTACAAATTATGCCCACAACGATATTGATCTAGTACCAGGTAAATCCTTCGCAGCCATTCCCGTACTTTCCGTCTCACCTGACATTGCAGGTGACGTTCGATGCTTAGAAACTTCCTTGAAATGTTCGCACCTTCCAGTGGGCATCGCAAGATCCGTATCTCAGGACGTTTCTAGCAGGGAGAGGTGACGCTCCTCTACAGCATTTCCTCTTTGTAAAGGTTAGATTTATGTTCCTTCGTTGTGCTCGTACCCTACTTACTCGCACCACCAGCTCCGAGACAGGTTGAAATACACCGCTGCAGAAGATGACTATGTGGCCTGGAGCAGAAGCTTCGGCGTCCGCGTCAACCTTGGACAGTATGAAAAGCTCCATGGTAAGCGCACTCGTTTCCGGAGTCGTCAGCTCTCCTTGTCCCCATCATGGCTTTATTTACAAATTCCGCTAACATTGATTCCTAGTTACTGGCCTCGTTCTTCCCGCAGGATCAGCCCGCCACCGCAGCGTGTTTCAATGATCTTTCGTCATGTGGGTGACGTTCACTACTGCTACATATTCGAGTAATAAGCAATCCTCCCGATTTATAACTTTTATGTCCGACTACGTAACGGTTACCGCATCGACAAGATATGCGGAAGCAGCATTTTTGCACGGTATAATACGCTTCTACTTCTGTTTCATTGGTAGGCTATTCTGAATGATTGACGGATTGTTTGCCTAATGGTCAGGTTACTAGATTCAGCTCGAAGATACTTTGATCACGCGCACGATAGGCACGTTATGTTGTTTTTTGTTTCTCGTTCACGGCATTGGTAATTCTGTTTCAGTATTGTATTTCGGAGTTCCATCTCGTCGTATGGCAAGCCGTATCATTTTTAATGCAGTTCGCTCTGTTATAGGATGTTTAATCACAGTCCATGCTACGCCTGGAAGTATACCAACGACTCGAAATTGTGAAGCGGTCAATTGCATTGTGACATTTCGATCTGTCTTATATTTCTTCTACGAATGCCTTCCCGGGCATAATTGGGGTAATGGATTCCATGTTAAAAAGAGCACTAATATCTGGGCTACTTTGGAGGTTCATATCCGGCGACGCTACGTTTGGGAAACGGAATGATATCGTCGTGACAATAGACACAGTGCGGACACACATAAATTACCAGTCTTCAATTTCACTGTCATCATTGTCATCATCATCCATCTCTTCTTCTGAATCGAATGTATCATCAGCTCGGGCTCGATCAAGTCAGAATGATCGTTGATCAACCAAATCAATCCACTACCGACGTCAAGTCACAATTTCATTCCAACCTCTCCCAGGCACGATGCTTCTTCAACTTACTCGTCCACCTGTCACGGTCACGCAATGTCACCCTATGTAGTACGCTTGGAGTACGTGCCCAACTAACCGGATCCTCTTAATTCAATAATAGGAAAGGATCGAGCCCCGAACCGCAATACTCGGGTCGACCGTATCCTATTACTCGTAGGATGCTTACAACCGTACCAGTGATTACCTGGTTATATGACACGTTCCGCTAGCGTGAGTCGCAATAGTATCCCCAGGGTAAGTAAGCCGTGGGAAAGGGCTAGAACTGATCGTCGAATTGGAATTGGGAACACGACGAACCGGGCAAAAACGGAGAATCTTCTCTTCCCTTTCCCCTCGATGGGGATATCCTTCCCCGCCGAATTGCTCGAACTTTTCGTCATCGAGGCATGTTTCTTTTCATGAACCAGTTTCACATATTTGATGTGTATATTACTGGCAGGTTAGTATCCCCATGCGAAAAGCCCTCAGATCAACATGTAGGGCCCTCAGATCGATCGCAACGCCGTTCGTATTTGAGAACCTCCTCATCGACACGCGGAACAAGAAACGGCCCTTCAAATTCCTCAAGTATCTGTCCTCAGAAAAAGGATTTGCAAAATACGCGCTGCACTTGCACCTAGTCTCTTTGACGTTCCAGGGCAAGAGTATGCTTGGGTTGCGTAAGGAGAAGGACTGCGAAAAACTCCTGGTAGCTGCGATACCATTTATGACATCGCTGAAAAGTATCTCGTGAGTAACGATCCGCTCATATTGAATTTTCTAACAGTCGTTAGTTGCTCTGCCTCGAATAAGCGTATCGTAACCAATGCCAGCCTGTGGTCTTCCCTCAACCACATAACTACTTTTGCCATCACCAACTGGATGGGAACCAGTCTATGTGAATCTCCGGCTTACACCTCCCCAACCTTACAAGCCTAAGCTATTCTGGCACCGGCAGTCTCGAGTACGCCAGTACCCTCGTCGGCCTGAGCACCCACCTCACCACGCTAAACATCCACTACTCCAAACATCCTGATGACCGTCCCAACCCATTTACCCCCATGGTCTACGTTGTATTCCACCGTTTTCGGTCCACCTCACTCACTAGTCTATCGCTTTCCAGAAACATCTCCCTAGGCCTCCTCGAGGTATATTTCCTCGTCCCCATCCTCCGTCGCCTCCAGTCGCTCTCGCTCAACTTGGACTCTGTACCACCCGAATTCTGGATGGAATTGAGGCGACAGGGGGTGTTCATCAAGGATAAGTTCGCCTTGACAACGTGGGAAGCCGATGATGCCGTGTTTGACTATCTCTGCTCGTATATCGGACTACAAAACTTGTTTCTGCCTATCAACGACGGAGAGGATGATCTGAGGGCGAAGGGGGTTGTACGGAAATATCGAACAACGTTGCGCAGCGTGGATATTGCCAAACCGAACTCGCTCGTGAGCTTTCATATCTGGGTGAGCGAATTTGCTTTGCCTTTCATGCATTCTTCGCTGATTTTCGCAGATCGGAAGATCTCCGTTGTCATAAACACGAAACGTACTAATTGAGGCGGGACGGGACTCTGTAATGATTGAAATTCGAATGTCAACTCCCTTGAACATTTCCATCTATTCTACGAGGTTACCGTTAAAACGCGTCTCTGGTGAATAGCACATTTCTACCCTTAGCATGATCCTTAGATTAAAGGAAGAGGCTCAGCAACTATACACCTCTGACCTTCTGCAAAACCGACAGCCTCTGTCTCGCTGGCAAATATTTCATTCAATTTACCTGTACGTAGACCCAAGAAATTAGACGCACCCCTGGTCCTATTTACCGAGCTGTTGATGAATTGTGAAGGAATGTGCACAGACCGACTGCACTTGGACAGATGCTCCGCCCCAGTTTCATATGATAGGAGGAATACCTGGACGGTGCTCGCCGTGGCAGCCGAAGTCGCTCTATAAGTAGAGGGGAAAGATGTGTAATTCAAGACGCCTTCAGTACTGCCGATTATTGTGCGGACTGAAAGCAACGTGACGCAAAGGAGTGCGAATTCCGACAAGATGAGAAAAGAATCGCAAACACCTCCGCTCTTGAGGTGAATTGTCCAGAAAAGTATCTCCCTTTGTTCTGCGTACGAATGCTCGACGGAGAAGCTCACATGCGTGGAAGGAATTTGAGGTCGTGCTTCACGTCGTCTAAAATAGGATCCACCAGTTCTTGAGACAGGAGAGTAATCAGGTCTTTGTTCGTCCGAGTCACTGCCATTAATTGAGAGCCAGATAAGTCTTGTCGAAACAGAACAACAGAATATACTCTGGGATGGACACCTCGAACTAGGAGCTTTCCCTTGGGTTTTCGTCATCCAGGCAGCTAAGATTTGCTTACGGCCTCGTTCCTCAGCAACTGATTTCGTATGTCTGTATTGGAATGACCGTTGTTCTATGCAGACCCCTGGTTCTCCTCGTACTGTCCACTAATCCTCTCTGATTAATTATTCCTCAGAATACCTGTCATCTTCCCCTCGCTTATCGGAACTGTGTGCAAGGAAGTTCTACCTGGAAATAGACTATATATTCTGCTCGCCGAAGCTCCTCAGACTCCGTTTGTTATATCTCACACATTTCTTCGCTCCTTAGGTAGAGACACTAATTTAATTTCCACTATGTATGCAAGCACCACTACAGATGATGCTAGGCCCATAACACTTCGATTTAAAAAATTGTACGCATACCTTGGATTCACTCAGATATGGGGATTCGAACGCCACACAGTGACTACATCATCTCTGCTATCGCATAGCTGATGACATTACCTAAAACATCTCTGATCCTCACCTGGATCGTTCTCACCCCTGGGCAGTGTCCTACATCTCATGTTTCAGACTGTAGTTTTGCACACCACCCCTGTAAGTCGATAATGGACACAAGGTAGAACTCGTACTCACTGCTGAAATCTCAGCCAACTTCCCTTTCAAGACAGAAGTGGGCAAGTAGGATTAGTTAATCTCTCCACGTCATGCCGATCTTCTCATTTTCGTTCGCGAAACCGATCAAACTCAAATTCTGATACGAGAGAGAGATATCAGAAAAGAAAAGAAGACACACTTCCAAATGATACTTATACCCAGCAGCGTGGTCGTCAAGATCTCGGGAGTAGTGCAGAAAGTTTTCGTGCAGAGAAAGCAGGTACCAGATTTTGACGAGCTTTTCAATCGTATCTGGATGGGGACTAGGAAGTCTATCAACCAGGACGAAATATTGGCTCTGTTCAATTCTACGGAAAATGAAGGACCTGAGCCTTGTTTTGGTTAACGAGATTGTGGTTGCCGGTTGACCGGGACAGCAGTAAAGACAGAAAAGGGGATGGAGCCGGATATTGCCGAAGGTACTCTCCTTCCGCCACCATTGCCACGATTTTTTGTCCTTCTTTCAAACTCTCTGCTATTGCTTGTTTACAACTGTGTTTTGAATGGACCAGGCCTCGTCTGCCGAATGGCATGTCCTTGTGAATCACGGAGCAAGGTTTAGGCTGAAGGCTTCTTTCTTTTTCGGGAGACGGTGTGTGACTGGTTTTTTTAGTTGCTGGTCGTCATGCTGACTCCCAGGCCAGGAAGCAGTACTCCTACTTCCATCTCTTCTTCGCTCACCCGTAAGGATTATGAACGATAGAAACTACTACATCGCACATGATGAAAGACGAGGATTTTCTGGGAACGTTACAGAGGATGTGTATTTTTGTTCTCAGTGGGCTGCCCTTTCTCGTGCTTTTTGACAACCCTTGACATTGCTCCTGCTAGTGGTCTGCACTGGTTCAATATCGCAGCTCTCAGTCTTGTTGCGAAAGAGATTCTGACTCTTAGCGTGTATCACCAGCAGGCACGTCTCGATATCGAGCGAGAATATTGTGATGGGGAGGGATGACCTCCTTTGGCGCATATTGAGGTCTCCGGTTTTTTTGTGAGTTGCTTGATCGCTCTTCTAAAAACCCGATAGGCTACATCCTTGGAAGAATGAACTAGAATATCCTCGTGCGCCTACGAGTCCCTTAGAAAAGCAGCGTTTGGAAGATGGATATGCCATCATATCAAGTGCCCGTGAGCCATCATCCTGCTTTGAGGATTCTTTTTCGCGCTGACGTTTCCCATCCAGGATTCGCTTGAGCTCGGTTATTCTTCATTTTTATTATGAACTGGCCACTTCGATGAGACCCCTTCGGGAGAGCATCTGCAGGTGATGGGAGGACCCATCTACGACGCTGTTTTGACAGAGGTGTACTGGGAAACATGTACCTGTGTGGTTATGGGCTGACCAGGCGAATTTATGAGATGTACATGCCGGTACATGGTGCGTCTGACGTTCCTTTCTGTATTATCTAGAGCTAATTGCGTCTTCAGTGACACTCAGCATAAATCTGTTTAACGGAGGACAAGGATATACCATCCGACCATCTAGCGCACCCTCCCATCACTTCCTACCTTATTCTACATGTCGCTGTTGGGCTTATTCTGAGCTTTGTCTTTGTTTCAGTCGTTGTGCCATGGAACTGTCGAGTATCGACACAGACAGTCGATACAAATAGCCTTGCGTCAAAGACATTCAATCATTTCCTAATACACGAAGGCGAAGGCTCTTCTCTGTGATCCGCATGCTTCTTCCATGCTGCCACTTTGGCTATCCCATCGCCTGCGCTATCCGCATCTACGTTGATCCGTCCTCATACCATCCTCGAACTCCACCCTCCCTTACAGCTTACACCCTGTACCTCTTTGTTCTGATCGCGTGGGGCTTTCTCCGCCAACTCTACGGTGGGATCCCAGTTACGTATCCGCATCAAACTTCTGCTGAAGAACAGAAGCGCCCATGCCACATTGTATGGCTGTTTTGCGGGAATCTGTTCTCCTTCATGCGACCTTACCTCTGTCGTACGAATAATGCTGTGCGTAGCTTTCAGGGTACCTGCACGTCATACGAGGGCGTTGGTGTTGGTACCTGCATAAGGTCCCAAGAAGGAACGACCAGGCCCGCAGCCCTAACGTGGCGAGCCGCGCGCTGGGTATGAGCACAGATTCCGAGAGGAGTACGTTTCATCGAGATAGGCTACTATGGCGACCGGGTCTGATATGGCGGCACCAGTGAAGCAGTCGATGGGTATGGTATGGACAGTCGCTCGGGCTGGGAGGTAGGGGGGCCAATCCTTGCGGTGAGAGCTTTAACATCGGATGTCGACGCCATGTTGTCGAGGTTCAGATAGCATTTGCGCCATTAATTCATCAATTTCGAGACGAGCCAGTGACAGCATTGTGTGCGTACCTGGCCCGCTGGGTTGACGCCCTGCTAGTCTGTCTGTAATACACAAGATGACTTTGCACAAACTGAGCCTTTCCGAGATAAACGACCTTGAAGGCGACTGGTGCTGGTATCCACGTCTACGTCGAATCACAGAGATAAGAGTGATATGAGATGATGAAATGCATGCCAGGACTCTGAACCAAGGTTTGACTGGTGGCGCATTGCTCGTCTTCCCTTCTGACTGGGAGCAGTGAAGCAGCAAAGAGTGTGCTCTTGGGGACTGTTGCGCCTAGTCTCAACAGTGAGATTGGACATTTGCTAGAGAAAAAATGGTCACGTACCCGTTCCGATACCCAAGACCTGTATGTATGCGCTATTATCACACTCTGGCGCAAGCGAATCCCAGACATTGCTGGTAGTATCGTCGGCGATGCCTACGCAGCATCATGTCTTCGTCCCAAGCGCAGTGTCTACATATTCCGTGAGGCTCATCCTACAGAGTTCAAGATAATGCACTAACTTTTTCCCGTTCCCTTGAATGTCTGGTCAATATCGTAACTGGTAATGTGATGACGACGGTCGTCATGCCTCCTGCAACTCCTCACAGTGGTGTGTGTCGATATGTGGGCATCGCTCGCCATAAGTGCCAGTGTGGTAAAGGAACTGGTATTCCGTGATTTGGATAGTTGTAACCCATGCCCTGTTTCGTTTGGCTGCACGAGTGCGACCGATGTCGGTGCATACTCGACTTCAGCAATTATGATAAAGCAGAACTGATTGCTGGCAATAGCTGTGAGTTTGAGAAATAAAGAAAAAAACAATCAACGCACAGATCTGCAAGTCTTCTTAACTAACACCCTCCAGCGCTGTGGTCACTGACGTCGACGTTTTTTTTTTTGAGTAAGTCATCAGCGACCACCTGGACCATTGTTTCTCTATTCCAACAGGGAGTATATGGGAGAGGCCTGCGTTGAATTTATGCCTTGTATCCATACTCTGTGTATACCGATGAATTTTGCAACGTAAGAGAAAGGCAACTTGTCTTACCAAAATACAAAGCGACTTCGACTGCCACTCCCAGTGAATATCCACCACTGCTGAACATATCTCAGCTCCCACGAAATTGTCCTTAGCGACGTTCGTAACGCATGATGATGCTGGTCCGTGGTGGACCAGGTGAGGAATTAAGTGCACGTGGTAGAGATCTGCTACAGTCGGTCCGTGTGCCGGGTGAGCGTTTCTTCTTAGTCTGTGGCACGTTTCGTGTCGGCACAGAGCCCCAGCGTTCCTTTTTGGGACCTCGCCCGGTTATCTATCTATCTTGGTTCTGTGTCCATGATGCACCGCGAATGTCACTCTGACAAATGTCTCGACAATTACTAGCGGTTGTCTGTCATCAAAATGTCTCGAATATTTACAGTTTAAAACGCTCATGGTTCTAAATTACTTTAATCAAATGCTCTATACTAAGGGAGTCTACTGGTTCGCTTTTTCTCGTCGAGTCCTCCCCATCTTGTAGCCCCATTGTATCTGGTGCGCAAGATGTATATCTACATCAAGGTCTTGCGCATATCTCAACACGAGACCCGGATTTTGTTGGAAGGCTCTACCGCACAATACCACATCAGCTAGACTGTCTTCCAACACGCCTTGCGCGGTGTGACCATCAGTTATGCCTCCTACAGTGGCAACCAGTAATCCAGGATTGGTTCTCCTCACGGCATGTGCTAACGGTGACTGGTACGCAGGACCAGGAATAATCTTCTGCTTGTTGTTGTTGCCACCAGCCGACACATCCAAAACATCGACGCCATGAGCTGCGAGAATAGGCGCGATTCTGACGGTATCCTCCGAACGCCACGAGGGGACATCGGGGAGCGTCTGTTCTACACATTCACTGCCTGATATTCTAGTGGACCAGCATGTTAATAATCGACCATTGGTATCAATCAAACCAGCTCACCTGTAGAAAAGCGGCATGCCGGGAGGCATCACAGATCTAATCGCGTCGATTACTTCCAAAGCGAAACGAATACGGTTTTCAAAGCTTCCACCATATTCATCGGTGCGATGGTTACTAGTTGGACTCATGAACCCAAACAGCAAGTAACCATGCCCACCATGGACCTCGAGAGCATCGAACCCGACTTTCACAGCTCTCTCTGCTGCCTTCCTGAATGCATCCACCACCTCTTTGATGCTCTCCCTCGACATCTCTTTCGGCAACGGATAGTCGTCATTGAATCGAAGCGGCGACACAGCATAGACATTATCAGCCCATCCTCCAAGCTCCGCCGTCGCCAATTTAGGGCCAGGTAACCATGGTGCGGTGATGGACGCTTTTCGTCCAGCGTGTCCCAGCTGCATCGCGATCTTCTGGCTCTGTGAATGTGCAAACTCGACGATAGGCGCCCAGAGAACCGCATGTTCGTCCGACCAGATACCAGCATCTTCTGGGGTGATGCGGCCCTCTGGAACGACGGCTGTAGCTTCGGTGAACGTAAGTCCAGGACCACGGGTGAAGATGCCGCCAACTATGAGACGATGAGATGCTATCAATTACAAGATATATGAAGCCTACGGTGCGCGAAATGCCAGGGGGTTATCTTGCCATCCTTTGCTGAATATTGGCACATGGGCGATACCTATACCAAGGAGGCATTGAGAACCTTGTCATCGCCTCGTAAGGTGACTTACAAAGATCCTGTTCTGCACAGTCAAGCCTCGTATGGCGAGCGGCTGAAAAAGAAGCGGTATAGGTTTGTCATCGGGTTGGGAAGCGGCTGCGGTCCCAGCAGAGGGGTTTTGCTCGGGTGTGAAGAAAGAGACGCCTTTTGCTGCGATGTTAGCAGTCATGAGAACGATGTGAATGGCTGATAAAGAACTAAATGTTGGTCTTGTCTGCAGCTTTTTATAAGTGGCCCGCGATAAGATTTCGGTAGCATTCCTCTGTACACCGCCCTGCGTGACTGAATAGAAAGGCTGAGAAACTCGGAGATCAGTTTCCGGGTCCTGAGCTGTCCTGAAATTTAGATAGACTTGGTTCTATATCATACTAAAAGTGATTTCAAGACTCGCCTGCTTCCTACTAAGTGAAGGACATCCAACGGTTCAGGTCCACCTTGTTCAGCAGCTCCAATAGCAGTAGATAGCACCATACGATGAGAGCATATTCGAAAGGCCTTTTTTGATCCTAGGAGAAGCAACTCAGATGAAAGCTTTCAAACGGAATTCCCCCAAAATCCGTTTCGAACGTGCTCAAATCCACATGAGGAAACTTGAATTGCTTCCGGAAACCTCACCGCGTTGTCAAAGACTCCATCTTGGCTACTCGGAGGAACACCTCCGTGTACTGTTCGCATTACTGTGCAATCTCATCATGAAATATGCCACCGAGGCACTTGTACGTCTGTGAAGATGGCGGGGTTACTATGGGGTAACATGCAGGATGTAATATATTGAATAGCACGCAGGGTTGACGTGGCTCCGAGTCTCCGATGGCGTAGACCACTATTCTAGACGAGCGTGAATGCGATGTATCATGAGAGGTTCGACCTATATCAATTGATCCACACGCTTCCCCCTAGTCCTGTGTTCCTTGAGGACCGACGGTGGTTGGATGACAATCGTCACAGGCTCACGATTCACAGAATAGCAACTTTCATCTCTTTCTCTTGATTTTCATTTTGGTACAACAGACAGACAGTGCAGGACAATGAAGAAAAACAAGATGTAGATAAGAAACCGAAGTACAAGACGTGAACAAACAAGGAACGAGTAAATGAATTCAGATATCCAAGCCCCCAGGCCCGAGAGTCCGGCTGCAAAGCTAGTTTACGAGAAGCATGCCTGAAACTGCATGCCCCGCAAGACAGAAAAGAGACAGAGATATCATAGATCGCCCAGGTAATGGAAGGCGCTGGCTCGCTCATACTACCACGAGTACATAGAAGCCAGCGCTCTCAGGCCCAACTCGAGGCATTACTGAAGATTAGATCGCAAAGCGGGAGTCATTTTCCGAGTTATATTTAGTAAAGACGCGAGAGACGGAGGGAAAGAATCGGAGGAGACGTCGAATCCATAGAGACAGTGCCACCATTCTAAAATAAGAGTTGCTGCGTGAGGTTAAAGGGTCTGGGACAGCGCAGTATTATTACGATGGGTACTACTCATACCCTGAGCTTATCCAGAATCTCATCTACATCTTGTCCAATCTCAGATTGTTGTGACATCCTGTGACACAACACCATCATTACGTTTTCAAGTCTCTTTCTAAAATAAAGTTTTTTTTATACGACCTGAATTGAACAGGTTCCTATAGTGATGGGTAATTGAAAACAAAATTCCTATTCATTTGTTTATCCACAAAAATTGTTGACTAAGTCACCTTACTGAGAAGGCCGCCTAGCTCTTTTTCCTTGGTAAGAATCAGAATCTGTCAACCCGAACCCGGAACTGGAGAGTCCAAGAACGTCAGTGTCCTAATGGTCAGATCTTTCCTGGCGGTAGTACCTGTCCAGCAGCAGCATCCTGTAGACTGTGACCATCCTGGCTGTTTGTGACCGAGTTGAGCTCCTCGTTGCCCTCGACGCCTAGCTCGATGTCCTTCAACACCATGCTCGACGGGGCAGTCGAGGTCTCCCGACGCCTGCCTATTTTAGAATAGAGCCATCGAAAAAGCGAGATCTACTCGGATTAATTATGTAAGAAGATCCATTCGTGATCGAACTCAATGGCAGGTTGAACGAACGGCCATCAGGATCGCATGTTTCAGCAGTGTTGGCATCAATTATGTTTTCCACCGTGTCTGTTGTTCAATCGTCAGGTGACGGATTCGATTCCCCATTTCCACCTATTCCGACATCTTTTGATTTAACGGAGAATGCAGAACACCACAAAACAGCTGATTTAGAAGCGGCAGTGATTGTGACGCTTGGGATTAGGCGGTTAAGCCAGCAGATGGAGGGAACACAGCGGAGCATGAGCATGGTCTCCCCTCCAGGATGAATTGTAGACCGATAGCAGTAGGCTCAGCTAAGCGATTAATATTGAACTTTGCAGGCCAGTAAGTAGCTGACGCGTATGTCTATTCCCTGACGGTCTTTCCTTCCGGGCATAATGATCGTGAAGTGACATCTGAACGGGATGATGGAACGTGCGCATGCACGTCTATCCTTCCTCCAGAAACAAATTAAGTAATGTCCTCTTCCTCTCTGCACTTATCATTCAATTGGTACACGCTAAGCCATCACACACATCCACTCTAAATACAACACGTAGTGCGACGACTTCCCGCACAGATATCATCTGCGGGTAACATTCGCCGTCCTCCGATACCCTTTCTACCCCACGTGTCTGTGAACCTGCCAGTTTCCACATCATCTGCACGTGCCCCGTCATCTATGCGCGACTCATACCGTCGCAAGGCATACAGAGTTGCGTCAATGTTGCTAAAATCAGTTCGGGATAAACGATGATAGAATCAGCCGATGGACATGGCACTTGCACGCATGTTCCTCGGCAGTGGCTGGGCCACTACAGAGTGAAATCGCTAATACAGTCAGCGATGGATACGGGGATGCATCTCAGGTCGAGTAATTCGCTGCGCGTTTCTTAAAGGAGGGAGGGAGGGCGGCGAACAGGAGATGGGATAGATGCCTGCTGTGAAGGCGAATACATGAAGCCAGCCGGTGACGTGGGTAGAGCGAGAGATCCTATGGGAAGGCGCTCGGATGCGAGGAAGATCCAGTGACGTATCCTCTCTACTTCGTGGTGTGCTGGAAATGATGCAAGTAATCAGGGTACGAGTGAGCACAATGAAGGAGCATCGATCTAACCTTTACAAAGAGGAAATACCATAGAGAAGCGTTACGTCGCCGTACTAGAAACAGCCTGAAACACCAACAAAATAGTGCTTTTCGCATCAACGAAGAGTCTGAGCATGGAACGCCTCCTGCAATGTTAGGTGAGATGGAAAGTACGAGAATGGCTACGAAGAACCTACCTAGCACTAGAACGATGACTTGCAGGATTATTTGTACGACGAGGAGGCTGTGGGTGCATGAATGCTGGCTGAGCGTCGCGACCCAATTAGGAAGGATGGAGGGGTGTTGATAACACTGGACATCTAGTCAAAGGTCGTTAATAAGAAAAGTTTACAAATATGCTATTGCTCACCTGCATCATGCCTATCATAGCTCTCTGTCCCGAGTACATGAGCACCCAAATCGGGATTCCTGTTGCGAGCAGAAAACCATACGACACCCTCCATGGAGGTATTTGGAAATCGGACTTGTCTTCACATCCTTGTCCGTGCATATACTTAACGAGGAATATCAGTAAAGTATATCGGCTGGACGAAGGGAGAACTGACGAGAACTAAGTAAAGCTATGGGCCAGGCGTTCTAATGTTCTCAATCAACACGCAATGACCTCAGCTACCCAAATTCCCAGTTTTCCGGAGCAAATTTAGGTCCATGCATCGTAGCACGTTCACTTCTGCTTCAAGCGCAAGAATTAGCATTGGAGTGGCACGAGAAGACTACCAACATACCCTACAGACGAGGAAATGATATAGTAGATGGCATGCCGTACATCGTCTTCACATGCGCGAGAGAGGAAATGAAGTTGCGACAGACAAAATCCGGAAAATATGGCCATACCACACGCAAGAAGATGCCCTGACTGACGGCGTCTGCAGGCCGACATCTTACTACGACGCTGACGAGACGGGGAGCAGAAGGTCGTAACGGCAACTAATCGATCCGGCGTGACAGGATGACAGGAAGTAGTGTGCGTCACTGTAAACCGACGGACGAGTATTGGGGCGCAATCACGAGGCTAATTTTGATGACCCGGCTGAAGAGTCGGCATCTAATCAATCTTAGCAGAAAACTTAGCCAGATAGGCAATGGCTCACCAGAATGAACAGATCTTGGCACAAACGCAGCTCTCTATCTCCTAGGTGGTTATTCCATGCTCTTCAGCTATAGTCTGCGTCATCCAAGGGGTGCCAGTGATGGGTCAGAGCCGCCGATGTTGTCGTATCAACACCCAAATGAATAACGCTCGTTGATCAGATCTATCTCAGATCTCAGATACAGAGGTGTTGGAGTCGATGGAGGAAGTCGGTGCGGAATCGGCCGCGGTGCATAGAGCTGGGCGCGTTGAGGGAGAAAGGAGAGGAAAGAAGTCCGAAATTGAAATTCCCGTGATCGGCAATCAAAACCCTTACTCCGGCCCTAAGTAACACCGCCAGCTCATGTTGTGAAGTCAATAATAGTTAATCCCGGCGATGGTCACCACCAAAAGGTTCGTTAATGACTTTCCTAGTGAAATACTGAGACTGTTTCCAGGACTTGAAATGTTGAACTTTGAATCGGAGCATTCAGTGTAACATTGACCATGAAATTACGATGGTACACAACAGATAGTATCTGAGTCATCCAACCCCATGCGAAGGAATTAAGTAAGTATTAGTATCTTTATCCTCCCAGGGAATGATATATTGAGTTGTAACTCAACACGCCCAGCGGCCAAAAGTATAGTTTCAATCTCTCATTGTTAACCAACAGATTCGAACCATCGGTGCCACTGCCTCCAACATTTCTGGTCTGCTACCTGCAACCTGTCGTATGGAGAGGGATGGTAGGTAATGTGAAGCGAGTAGTTTATTCTGGTGGGACTGAGGGCATACACTCACTGTTACGATACGTGATATGACATCTTGGGAATTTTCAATTTGACATCGACTTGTAACCGCTCCCATATATATCTGGAACCGATGTCCAAAAAATATGTTGAATCTTCCAGCGTATATCATTGTCCGGGCTCGAACCGGGGCATCTCGGACCCTACTTTTGATCTGTGATGGTACTTCCTACTGAGCACATAAGAGCACCGACAAGATGAGCTGGCGAGTTTCCTGATACCGGCGAAAATCGAGAAAAAATCGCTGGTTGGCTATATACTTGCACAACCCTTTACACAACACCATCCCTGGGACTTGAACTGAAGTTTTAGACCCAGCTATACTGCCGATCTATGACGGTGCATTAAATAGTGAATTGTAGTATCACAAAAAAATGCTACAGGCAACACGCTCTATGAAGACAACCGAGAGAAAAATGATATTCTAGAATCGATGATGGGCTCACCCACAGGATCGAACCACAGATAGCCTCCCATTACGCCGTTGATCTACTTTGGCGTGAGAGCTCAGGCTTCTGAGAAGAGGATGAAGAACAGAACGTGCATCATCAAGGCGAGGAGGGCCTTTGTATCTATTGAAGTTATGATGTAAAATGCGGGGTGGGGAAGGAGAACGTTACCGCGGACACCAAGGAAGAGCTGGCCATGGTTTGAACTTCTTGGATGGTTTTCTGATAGTTTATAGTTCTTTAGGACAGGGAATGCTACCTAGTTGTTCTCATTCGATCCTAACCTTGCATAGGTTGCAAAAAGTGGTCACTACCGCGATTCATCTTTAGGGCGGACCTACGGAATCGAACCTCAGATGTGCACCGTTACGCCTTGATCTACGTCGGCATGAGATATGAATGAGGAAGAGCTTACGTTCGAATGGCCCCTTTGTTATCGTCTCTTGGTAGGTTCACGGGCTCGCTCTCAGTCGTAGTAACTTACGTCTTTTCAGGTTATTCAAAGAAGTCAAGCCGTTGTGTAGATGGGATACTCTGCTGCAGGGTATTAGGGATCAGCACCGGTTTTGGAATTAATTTGAACCAGAAAATGGAGCGGAAGAATCGGATTGGGCGGGAAGTCCAGGCTCCGGATGTTTGTTGAGGATAGAAATGTATCTTATGATATCGTACAATAGTAGTTCACGACGAATAATGACCTAGTAATCATGAGTACAAGCGATAGCACCTAAATGGTCTAAAACGTAATGACAAATAGTCCCTTGTTGCAGCGTATCAAGTCAACACAAGCCATGACGACCGCGGCGAGGACGCCTTCCATCAAAGAAACGCGTTTGATGGTTGCTACAGCGCTGGTACTTGCCATCACGATGGTATTTTGCAGCGACATGCCTCGGATGTGACACTCAATGAGGTGGACACAGTTGCAAGGGGGCCTTGGGCGCTGCTTGTGTCGAGGATAGAGACCTGAAGGCGATTTGGTACTGTAAGCGCTCTGCTGCTTTCGTGTAGAAAGAAAAGAGGTTTTGGAACGTACAGTGAAAGGACGCACTCAAACGCGACAGATCGGAAAAGAACTTCGAGCTGGTGCTTGATACTCTAGCTCAGGTTCGTAATCTCTCCTCGTCATTAAACTCGAACTTGAAGTCGTGTTCTCTCCAATTGCCATCCTAGCAACACCTCCTGGAATACCAGAACTCGACACCCTGCCAACGTGTCTTCATTCAGAGAATGATCAGGTTGTGGAAAAGAACAACGTACTGGCACGAACATTGCTTCTAGCTCTGTATTCTATCCATCCGCTCGTCTCGAATTCTTTTCTGAATGAATTAGCGACAGATCTGGAGCAGTGTCCGCTTGAGATCCCGGTGAATAGGAAGAAGCCCCAAGTTGTCATGTTTTCGACTGTTGTTCGATTCGTTTGCGATTCATGAATGCTGCGAGTGAAGAAGGCGGTAGGGAAAACTCCGGTGGAAAAGAGATGGATGGACTTACCTGTCGGATCTCAGCCGTAACGCTCAACAGCAACTCTCGGTCTTGTTTTGACAGAGGCATAACGCGGTTTGTGGACGAGCCTTGAGCAGAAAGGTCCTGCTTGCGGCGGGCATCGAGAACAAAAGGTAATTAATCAGGTACTACGAGGGCTCTGTCAGTCTCAGGTGGAAAGAGAATGTACCGCAGATGGGTTTACCCACTTGGCCTCGGTAGCTCCACCGAGAGCGTCAAACACTGGTGCTTGTAATGATGCTCGTCGCTAAACTCGAGGTTGTCGGTGTCTAGCACCTTGACAGTCAGAAAGGGATCAGTTTGTAGTAAAGAACGACGCACTGATGGGCTCGTGAATGTTGGTTCTAGCTTCCGGATTCCATCCGTCCGCATCTCGGACTCGACAGATCTGGGGCATGAGATGGAAGCAAGTGTTTGGGCCATCCACGTCATGCGTTCACGTTCTGTGCTGTTGCTGGATTCGTTTGTGATTAAACGTAGTCTAAGCAAAGATGGTAAGCAGAGTTCTGATAGAAAATTGGATGTGCTTACCTGCTGAATCTCTGCCTCTATGTCAGCCTACTGATGTCCTCTGCGCAACATCTGAATGCTTGGGAAAGTAGCTCGCCGACTACTGGACATCCTCCTTTCTTCCTCACGGTACATTCGTAGGAAGCTATAACGCCCAACTTTCCTCTTGCATTCGAACTCTTGTACTGTCGATTGCCTTTTGTGCAAGAGATGAAATATGAACTTGCACATCCCAGGATGTCATGACCAGACGTCGACTTTGGGGGCTGTGGAAGAAGCAGTCTCGAGCAGCAAGTGGTGGCTACCTGTTTATCGTCAGATATGGTTATGTTATAGTGATAAGCGACGCACCTGAGGAGTTACAGTGTCATGTCCATGTTCCTCCAGTACGCTCAAGCTCGATCCGAGTAATAGCGAGGCATCCTTATCCCAAGCCGTGATTTTGCAGCAGGACCGTCAGCCGGCAATGGGCCATGGCATCGTCTCGCAGATGTTGATGCTCTCATTTTCGGCGCAGAAAGGTAAATTGGAGGAAGCGCTATCCGTGGCCTCTGCAGTTGGCAGTAAACAACAGTCGGGATACGCATTGGCATTGGCGGATAGTCGGTCATTTCATGGACACTCCTTAGTTTTTCGAGCTCGGACAAGCAAACAGTAAGGAAGAATTAAAATTCAGATTTATTTTATCTCTAGACAATGATGAGGTCGAAGTAATAGTTATACAGCGGAAGAAAAGAACGTTACCTAGGCTGTGGTAAGGGAGAAGAAGAGAGAAAGCCAAATCACCACAAACAGACGTGCTGTAAGATACCACCGTTTTGAATCTCCGTAGTTCCGACGCGTGGCAGGCCCGTGCGCGTGGCGTCCAGGGTACAGCCACCGTAATACGGTCCGACTTGGGGCTTCCTTTCTCTCTTGCCTTCACTGCCGCTGTCTTCACTTTCCTCCCACTTCCACGGGACGATCTCGCATTTGCAACGTGTAACTCGGTTCTCGTGCATATCTTTGTTGAAGCTTCTATCAACGAATCAGACACGACGCATAACGCGTAATGCTTCAAGCTGTACTAAAGCTAACGTCGACACTAACATCAGCACTTCGCAATGGTATCAGAGAGATGAATTGATGCTAGCTAGGATGGCTTAGGAGTTGCTGAGGAATCGAATACAGGCAAGTCTAAGAAACCTAAACCTCGTCAGCTGCCTAACAATGCGCCTCTCGTAATCTAGGAATCTCTCGCGTGAACACACCGCCGTCGCCTGACCCTGGCACATTCTCATCGGTGACGTATGATACCTTGACGCAGGGACAGGATGGAATTTCTGGGATATTTCGTGCTTGGTGAGTCTTATCATTCTCGAAGCTCTCTCTTTCTCATGCTTCGCCGTTACAGAGGTTTTCTTGCTCTGATTCGATGGACAGAATAGGCCTGGCCAGAGCACATCATTGGTTCTAGATGATGCTATTCTGCTTACACCCACTTTCGATGCTTTTACGCAGATATACATACATCTCACTTACGCTCGCCCCTTGATTCCGATCCGCGCCTGTTTTTACGCCGACCAACCGATCTATCTATGCAGTACGTGCAGACATGAAGATCTAATTGGCGTAAACAGCTGTGCGAAGTTGCGGCGGAAAATTAGAGGTACTTGTTCAGCGCATTGACTTGGCCAAACGCTGACTTGGTTGAAGCGGGCCGGCAGCGGAGCTCCTCAGCAATATAATCGCTTAGGTTGAGGAAGGGATGGAATTCTCGGCAGGCGTTGAGGATGGTGAGCCATTGTCATTTTCGAAAATTCTGTCTCATGATATGCCCCTGAAGACGTTTCTTCCTCGGATTAGGGCTGCGCGCCGTAACCGTATTGTATGGAAATACGGCTTCCGTGTACGGTATACGTACCGACGCTGTGAGCGCCTTGAGCCATACCGTATAACATGGCCGTCGATGGCCGTATATTTGTGGCAGTGCTACAAGGGGGGAGGACGCATTTTCGAGTCCATAATTCCTCTTGAAAACAGACTAGAATTACTCACCATCATGTTCTATGGGTCTCCGAGTCGGACGCGACATATTAGGTGCCTTCGTGAGTTCAAAATGTTGCATGCAAAGCGTTATGACATCATCAATAACCCCTTGGATCTTGTGAACTGGGCAAAAATGGTCAATTTCATGTCCAGAATGTGCTCTGACGATGTTGAGATGTATGATACACTGATTTTCTTCACATTCGGCACTAAAATGAAGTCAGTTCTATAAACATATCCAGTAGCCATGAATATGGCCGTATATACGACCGTCACGGCCGTAATTGTACGGTCCGAAGCCGTCAGCGTCCTTGACCATACGGTTTACGGACGGTTACGGACGGTGCGCAGCCCTACCTCGGATTCGATGGACCAGGCCAGAGTACGTCGCCGGTTTTCGACGATGCTTGTTGAGATTTGAGCACGGGAGAGAACGAAAAATGAGCAACTCGTTTATACCTAGTATGTCGACATGGTGGTAAACGGTAAAGAAAAGAAAACTGCGGGTACGGTAAGTAACGGGTTCGGAGCCGGTTGATTCCGACGGCTCGTACAGCCACAGCAACTCTAATAATGCTCTGCAGCATACATCTCGCTCTGTTGTTCTTATGCGAATATCAACAGACATCGCCCTCGCTTCGCTCGGCTTCATGCGGAACGTGTTACGGCCGCTTTCATTTTTGCGCGGAAAGTCTTTTTTCCAGGTCAGTTCTGCCGTTCCGTTCTTATAACCTTACATCTCACACCTAAGATGTAAGGTAAAGCAAGATGGCAGATTCATGGTGTACAATACCCCTCGGCGTCGACCGTGCCATGTAATCCTACCCACCTACGTACTTATGTACTTATCGTACGTCGATATCCTTTGCGCTACTGATGGCGTTTCTGACTCACTATAATTTAGATTGTATTTCTGCGTACTATAATTGATAATTATGCTGCTCTCGCTTCTTCTGCGTGGCCTTGAGCCGAGAATGGAGATGCGGAATACTGAAGGACCTGTATTTTGATGTCACTTGTTTATTCTACTTCGCGAGGGTGGTCTTGTGATGTGACGATTCTCTGCTTCATCTGGGACCATAAGCGCAGGAGACTCGGCATTACCACTAACTTTACTTCCTCAAGGATTCCATGGCGCCTTTTCCTCCGTATGACTCCTTCCCATGCGGTTTGAATAGGGTCGAGGCATATTGATCTTCCTGTGCCTACGTCCGCCCCACAGGGAGTTCCATCTGTCATTTTGGATTCCGTTCAGGACGTCAGAACTATTAAAGTGCCTAAGCGATGAGTAACATTACGTTCATCGTTGCTTCTGATTTCTGCACCGCACAGATGAGAATTGATTGGGTACGTGCACTCTCTTACGGTTGTTTTTCTTATAATGCTTGTAGATCGCTTCTCTCTTTCTCGTGCAGACGTGAATGCTTAATATACTGCTCCCACGGATGTGCTCCGCCGCAGTTACTGCAAGGCTCAACCAACAGTTCTCTTTCGAGATACGAGCTATGCCCCGACTTCTGAAGGCAGCATCTGACCCCTGGCTGCTGCCGTCATGATCCCATGAGCGCTTCGCTCAGAACGCTGAAGCTGTTTCCTGCATCATCCTGTTCAGGTATTGCTGTTACACAAAACAGCTGCCTGGAGGAGGTTACACAGCCGTACCGCGTTCATTTGCTGGTGTGAACGGGGTTGCTGTGGCATGGTTTGACTCCGTACCGCCGAAATGAGAGTAAGTATCAAATTTTTCTTCGGGATATCAACTGAACGGCACCTCATTAGAGGAAATTTTAACCGTGTGCATCCAACCTAACTATCTTTCGTCCCGCTGCCAGGTTTCCTCCCTGAGCAGCCGCCTGGACGTTCGATTTCAATTTTTCTGTACAGTGCATTATATTTATTCTCAGCATACATTTCCGCTGACTGGAGCCTACAATAAACCCGTGATTCTCATGATGGCGACGACGTACACGAGAATCAATTAACCTCGCCTAATTCCCACCTTAATTTATCAATCACCGCAAGATTCGGGGTTTACAACATATGCTATTTTCAGTCGGACTTCTCCTTTGCGTGGTCACAGTTCAACCTGTTCCTCGTATCCTCATCATATTTCTCTTTCCCTCCCGCTGCGAGTCAGCCTTGAATCGCTGGCATTCTGCATCCCGGTGTTGTTAACACTCGTGGACATTTAATTGATGTCCTTGGATGCGGTGTTCTTCGTGCATCAACATGTGGAGCTACGGATTGAATGAAGGCAGTGTGTCATACGGGGTACAGGGTGTTTCCATCAACAGCGCTAGAATCTTCGCTTATCGGTCATCTGCTAGCGGTGCGTGCTTGTTGAATTAACAAACTAGTTATAGGTGATTACCCGTACCTCTATTTACAGAGGAATAGCTCAGTCGACGGGGAATCTTGCTCTGCGGGGCCAGAAATACTCCTCTAACAGTCTTCATTGTATTTGGGTGAAGTATTAATGGTGAACTGGTTCGCTAACAAGAATATTTTGTCATTATTGATACTGATCTTTATCACGGCTTCCGGAAGCCACCTGCTATTCGCATGCAGTTCCAGTACGTTGAAGTGTTAGTAGTGGGGAACATTCTCATTTAATACCAAGCTTCGTGTGTACGGTTACCTTCAGGAATGTTATGCGGAAATACACTGTACGGTGTATGCTAAAACTGAGCCCAACTCGGATACAATAGTTTGTCATTTTCATGTCATGGTGGTCAAACGGTGGTGGTACCACGCAAGCAATTAGGAACGGCCGGGTCCACAGCCCTGACTGTGAGATATCCGTGGTAATACTAACGTATAATATATCCAGTAACGCACAGCATGCACACACCCTCCCTGGTCAAGGGTTTTACGCCTTGACTAGTGACTCTCAACACATCTGACCGACAGTCCAGTTGAGATATGCGCGATTATGAGAGTATGTATTTCGTTCCTTTGCTTTGTTTCAAACGCATGTTCCGACTAATAAATCATGAAGTCTTTTGGAAACACGAAGCTAGGGATCGCCGACGAAGTGAAGTAGTAAGTGTGTCATAGACTAGCGGGAGGTCCATAAGTAACATATCTCTGGCACATTTCAAGTATGCAACGCTCCCTGAGGTGACGATATCCTCCTTCACAGAGATCGGCCAGGTGGAGGAGGAGATCACTGTGCCACTACAACGGGCTTACACCGGTCAAAAGCCTGTGATATCAGCCTCCCTCGCTGACACTCCCTGCGCTAACCTCGGTCTTTGGCGCCTCTTGGATAAACTCAACAGTATCCTTGGAACATCATATACCCTGGACATGTACACCTTCCCCTCCGTTCTCCAACACGGCATCAATATCAATTCCAACTTTGGCACTATCTACAGCTTCCTTCGCACGGTATGGTACACTGATGACTGGAAAACCATCCCAGAGGAAATACATAAATGCAAAACCAAGGACCAGACCGGCCGGCAGAACATATTTAATCGTGACTACATTCGCATGCCGAATATGAACCCTAGATTTGTCTGGGATCTGTACAGTAATCGTGTGGTACCATTCTGGGTAACCTCAATGGAACTAGTGTGTCCGATATCACATGCTTGGGTGGACGAGAAGGATCGCATAGACGTGTGGACGCCCATCAACGGATACCAATGGCCCGTGCCTATCCCAAAGGACACCGATCTTAAACTCATCCGCATCGAGATGCTCAATCTCGGCTTGGAGTATGTATGGTTGGATGTACTCTGTTTGAGGCAGAGAGGAGGACCAAGGGAGGACCTACGTGCAGAGGAGTGGAAGTTGGACGTACCTACTATCGGGCATTTGTACAGCCGAAAGGAGGTGGTTTATTGCTACTTGAGTGGGCTGGGGCGACCATTGAGTGTGGAGGAGGGCGATTTGGACAGCGATCGATGTTGGTTTAATCGTGCATGGACGCTGCAGGAGATCGGTCGTAAGAGAAAAATTTGCGGGGATACACTGAATGGTCCGCTCCACGCAAAACCAGATAAGGACGGGAACTATGAGACCGAGGTTCTGACGAAGTTTCGAAAAAAATTGGAGTCCTTGGATGAGATCATATTGGAAGATCATCATCTTACTGAGCACGATAATTTATTCAGGTTGCTGGCAGAGATGAAGGATCGGGTGTCGACCAACCCAGTGGACAAGATTGCGGGGTTGGCATTCCTTCTGTGGCCCAACATGCTACCAGTATACTATGAGAGTCAGTCTCTCGAGAATGCATGGTCAGCCTTGGTAGACAATGTATCACAGCTAAGACGAGGAGCTCTGTTCTTTCTGTATCCTGAACCAGGAGATGCAGGTGTAGTATGGCGACCATCATGGCACCAAGTTATGACGAGGCCTCTCCAGGTGGATAGGTACTACCCAGTCTTCCTTGATGATGATGAATGGGAATTCCATGACCTATTAGAGGCACCCTGCATTGAAAAGGGCACTGTGCAGGGATTGGCTGTGGTAGAGGAACCAGGGGATCATCAAAGACATGGGCAGTTGCTTGTCGAAGATAAGGATGGGTCAAAGCACATGTTCAACATCATTGCTAATCACTGGTATCCTATACCTGACGGAACTTACACACTCATTGGAAATAATTCATACTGGGTAGTCGGGGAACAACTGCCATGGGACTCATTTGAAGAACCGTTGGAGGAACATGGAAAAGAGTGTTCACACATTGAACAGTCACAGAACTCATTTGAGAAATATGTAGGGGAGGTAATGATGGATGTGCAGTTTAAGAAACTGTCAGTGGTCAGTATAGCCACTCGCGAAGAAGAAGAGAAATTGAAGAGACTGAGTGTTGCTGAATATTGTCACATCTGGCTGGTTTAAGGTAAGAACACGTTTTGTGGTCGTCTGAAGCACTGTTCAATATTCACCACTCGAGCAGCCATTGGTTCTATCATTAGTTTACCACACAGTGTGATGCAGAGACGACATCCATAAATCGTCCCTGACGACGTAAAAGCAGGCGCATACAGAAGAGTAGGGTTGCGAACTAGTGAATAACGTCTTCCTACAAGAAGCCTCCGACGCAAACGACGGGCCCGTACTGGGATTTGCTAGAATAGAGGAGACCCGTCGACAAACGATGAGCAAGAATATAGGTCCCCAGAAGCACTCAGAGCGACGAGCATGAACCCAATTCACCTTTCTCCTGTTCGCCGGTTGTGAGGCAAGATGTGTAGCACCACGTCTAGTGTATAGATGAGACTCAGACAGCGCATGCAGAGGTAGACTGCGCTGAACGAGGTTACATTCAGAAAGACTGGAGGAACGATAACGCGAAGCCTGCAAATAGGCATAAACGCCGGCCATCCAAGTGTTCGAGGCGACCGCAGAGGGCAGTCGTATCCAGCACCAGATTTTATACAGGAGAGTAATGAAATTAAGAGCAGGAACTCACATTCAATTCTTGGTTCGTCGGTCATGATCACGTCCGGTGCATGGAGACCATCGAGAAAGAGATACATGATTGCATTACAGTTCTACAACCTGACCCATTACACGATGAATCAGGAAAGACGTGTCATCAAGACAAAGAACAGTAACGCACAGGTAGGTACAAAATGAAAACGAGACATTGGCCTCGACAAATCCTGTATCACCCACCACCTTTGGTGCATCTTTCATCCTGGAAGTGAGGCGTCAGATCGCACAAAGGCAAGGATGAACTGACCCGAATAGCAGGATACTTGTCTCATAATCGATAATCCTCGAGAAGGAGCGGACCATCACACGGCAAATTCGGCAGAGACGACATAAAAGGTAGATGCATACAGAGGAGCTTCGTCGAGAACTGGCGAGTCGCCTTGACCGGGCCAATGCCATTCGTCAAATCGGAAAAGGGGATATCTGCATTTCTGAAAAGCATAAAGAAGAGAGGGTTCCGAGAAGAATGTGAGCTCACCGTCCAGAACACTTGGAGAATCCATTGCGTTCCTGTCTCGGGGAATTATCCATCTTTGACGCGAACGACCTCAGTCATATTGGACTGTGAGCGATGATCGATGACATCCAGCTCATGCAAAGAGGTACTAGAATACAAGAAAGACATCAACAAACGATGAGCAAGAACATAGGGTAAGAGCGAGCGCCTATCAGTCATTCCGGTTGGAATTCAGCCCACCTCTCTCTGGGGCGAAGGGCAAGAAGAATTCTGCGTGGTAGCCTGCGTGGCTGTGTGGCTGTGTGGTGCGTGGTTGCGTGGTCGTCAGCGTGGTTGACAAATTGCGGGACTCCCATCAAAAGTTGATCAAGTCCATCAAACGCGACTCGAGAGTCGACGCGTTCCGTTCTTTTGTCAATCCTTGCGTAGAATCAGCTTGATTGTCAATACCTGTAAGATTTAAATATGACAGCTTTGGTGGGATATCGAAATGCTTCAAAATATGGTCAATATCATGAAAATTTCGAACAGGATTGCGAAGTTTACGAACATCAAAAGTACTGTAGCTGAAGTAAATATTTTTACGAGTATCCTAACAGTATAAAAAGGCCTTAGAGTCAGTCTGCTAACCTAGAAGTAATACGGTACACAATGTGGGGTTCTCAGTGAAGAAGACACCATGAGAAGAATACAGAATTCTATATTTAGTATGAATGACACTGAAGACACAAGCCAATTAAGAGGTAATTATACGAATGATACACTTTCTGAAGGCAACCTTATGTGCGCCAGCGTGGTCTCTGTGTGAAGCCTGCGTGGTGCCTGCGTGGTTGCGTGGTTGGTCAGCGTGGCGGTGCGTGGTCAGCCTGCGTGGTATGGTTGCGTGGTTGCGTGGCTGCGTGGCTGCGTGGTCCGCTAGCGTGGTCACTTGCGTGGTCCAAGGTATATCCATACGTAAGGAAGGTTTGATCTTGGGGGAATTAAATGACCAATTTCGTGGTGTTGGCGCAATCAAGGAGCAATTGAAGTGAAGTCGATGTCAAATTGATGTTTACAGTGTCGCAACATCTTTGCTTTAATAACTTCAAGCTGAAAAAATGAGAGAGTACCCAAATTTCGATATTTATCCTTCTCATAATCATAGATAGACACATATAAGATGCAATGACACCTAGGAATCCGAGATTTGAAGGTTTAAAACCTCTAATTGGCAAATTTTGAGCTTTGAAACATTTTTGAATAAAGGTCCATTTGTTGCAGACAGTTTACAGAAGAATAAGAAATAGATCCAAGGAAATGTTTAACGAAGCATTCTTATCATAGCGCAGTATATATGTACAGTCAAGGGAAGTTCAACTCACGTTCAACTGAGGACTTGCGTGGCCCGCGTGTCCACGCGCCACGCACGCGTGGTACCACGCAGGTGACCACGCTGAATTTCTAGTGCCCTGGGGCGAAGTATCGTGTCCAAGTTGGTGATTGGCATTCAATTGAAGCAATTCATAGCAACGGGAGTTCTATAGTGGGTAAACGAGATCGACCAGTGAAGTGGAAGTGCAGTGAAGGGAAGGAAGGCCTGGTCGACTGTCGGACTCGAAATCATGAAAGCAATACTCCGGACTCCGGATACGCATGGGACCGCTACGTGTTTCCTTGGGAATTTTGGGAAGACTTGATCTCGCACCGAGTTCCTGTATGGAAGAAAGGAAACGCTCGTAACTGTAATCAGATCATCATTGTAGAATATCGTGTGACTGAAGAAGCACTACGCAAATCCCGTGTGGTCGTCCTTTTTATCGCATTTCAGAGTATCACAGAAGTGGAGCACACTGGGAAAAGTGACTCAGCCAGCGATTTAGTTGGTAGACCCGCGATCAAACAAGCAGACATGTATATTTATCCCGAATTCAAAGAAATCGAACCCTCGATCCAAGTCTATGGGTTGATGGAGCATTGGCGGAAATTCTTGCAGAGGAAAGATAATCGATAATTGATGAAAGGCATGGAAGAGATCTGTCAGATACTTTGAGGAACAATGAGACAACCAATTGTAGCGCGCATAAGTGATGATGGTGACAGAAGGAGAGTGTCTTCGGCAATTCCCGGCTGTCTTCAGGCGTCCTTTTCCATTGCCGCGTTCTCAGATTTCTGATCAAAGACAGTTTGCTATGCTAGTTATCGGCGCACGCTCCCATGGTACCTCTAGAAGAGCGCTGCCATAGTTCATCTTTCCACGTCTCACTATCATACCACCGTCTAGATCTAATTGGCGCAGAAGTCGGTAAATGTGGAAGGTTCGTCTGAGACGGTATACCTCACCCACACATCCGAGATAAGCTCGACACCATAGCACGCACGCTCATGTCCTTTCACGTTCTATATCATGCTATTACATGCAAGAATTATTCCTAGTGAGGAGCGGAACGACGAACCAGGGCCTAAAAATGCTGCAGATCCTCCGGTCAGAGTGCAGGAATTGAACCCACCGTGTCAATAATCTTATTCATTATATAAATCTCACTTAGTATGAAGAATGAGAGATGTACAAAATTTGAGCGGTCCTGTGTCCGGTAACTACGCAGTGCCACTGACCTCACAAGGGCATAAAAGCACCAAAATTAACGCTGCCACTTCCTTCCAAGTTCAGAGAGCAGGAACCGAACCCACAGCATTACCACCGACAGAGCCGGTATACTACATCTGAATGCCATTATGTACAGGCACTAATCAAAATCACTCCGGTGAGTAGCGGAAGTAGCTTGAATTCGCCGGCGTCGTTCTAAAAGACCAATTCGATGGTCCCTTGCATTCGGACCATCATAACAATCCCTTGTCTATCCGCATCCACCAAGTTGTTATGGTGTATTCGCTGGTTTTACGACAGATGTGTCCCAATTCCAATTCCAATTCAGAACATTGAAAGTTTTCGTATCTCTCATAATGGCAACGGTCTCGTCAGTTGGTCGAGCCAACAATGCATATCATCGTATCCCTCCATGAATTGGGGACTGAACGAAACGGTTGGACCTCGTAGCTCTTACGAATATATGTTGGCGGAAAAGGTAAATGTTGTCGAGTCCTTATACGGGGTGACGGCATGAACGTGTGCCTTCTTGCAGCAAACGGCCGCTAATTATGCTAGAAGAGCACCTTTTGTCAAAGCGAAGGTTCGTGTTTGCTGATGCATATTTGTAGGAGACGTTTCTGAAAATTTGTCCATGATATTAGCCACCTGAGATAGGACATTTGAACACTCGGATATGAACACGACAAGACTCTATGGATGGCTAAACAACAAGATATTTGGAATAAGCGTGAAGGGGACGCATACAATAGAGTTATAAGTGAGAGAAGGGTACGCTAGATGGCCGGCCCACCCATCATTATACTGAATCATTGAGCGTCTCTAGGGAAGCACTGAATTTGATACGGGAGAGAACAACAAAAGACGCACCGTAAACTGTCTTGTAAGCCTCAGAAATACGTCCGCTCAGCCGGGGCCGTCTCTTACCGCACACCTGCAGGAATGACGAGTACATATGCATCCTCCTCGTACTTCTCCTTGGATGCCGCATTGACCTTTCTCTTGGACGGCGGAAAGAAAACAATCCATAGGGCCAGGTGGGTCCTAACTCGTGAATGTCGGAGGGACGTCAAAGCTACCTTTTACAGAATTAGGTTCTCGAATACCACTTCGTTCTGTCGAAAGCCATAAGATACAGCAGCATATCAAGTAGGACCGAAATACTCACTAAACGGACCGCAATCCCCAATCCCCAATGGGCGCCACTGGTGATGCGATCTGACTATCAGAGCTCCTTACATCCTCTTGAACCGATGTAGAGCTGTTACCGATATTCGTGGCAGACCCATTTCGAGTGTTTACAGCGGTAATATGCTTGGTATTGGGGTTGGTTGGAGAATTAGATGTGGTATTGTCATGCACGTCCTTCTCGCCGACATATCACGGTGGATAGAGCTTCGGAGCGTCTGCTGGAGGGAGCGATGTCAAGGCTTATCCTTATATTACTGACGAATTGCAACATACCATTCTAGAACCAACATTCTGTGACGCTCCCTAGAAATCACCTACGCTCATTGGTGGTGAGTTAATGCTGCGCACTGAACTTGGAGCGATCACCATAACTGGTCGTCCATGTATGATTATTACAGGAACGGAGCACACGAAGAACTAAACACGATGCGAAAGATAGGTTTGAATTCAAAGATACGCAATACAACCTCAACCGTTTCACGATGGGTCAGGAAAGGCGCGTCCTTACGCGAAAGGATGTCAACGTACAGGTATATACACAAAGCGCAACTGGAATCACCCAGGGGAATCCTGTGTGATCCCTGGCTCATGCACCATCCTTGAGCTTCAGCTTCATCCTGGGAATGAGGCGTCAGATCGTACAAAGCTAAGGGTGAACTGACTCGAATAATAGGATACTTACCACAAAATCCTTGGCGAAGAACGAGCCATCATGCATCATGCGTCATGCGGCAAGGCAGGCAGGGACTACATAAAAATAGACGCATACAGGCGAGCATCGTCGAGGATTGGTGAGGTACTCTGGCCCGGCTCTCTTTGCTCATCGAAAGACAAGAAGTAATCTTTCAGCAGAACAGTTATGAAAAGGAGAAAGCATCAAGAAAGAACGAGGCATACCCGTCCAGCCGCCCAGAACCCTGCGAGGAGAACCCCCGTTCCTGCCCCGAGTTATATCTTTGACGCGAAATACGACCTGTCGTACGGGGCTCTGGGCAACGAAAAGCCTGTGGATATTTACTATAATACGAGAGATGAATCAACAAATGACGAGCAAGAACGCAAGTTCTCAAACTCACCCCAGTCATCTAAATTGGAAGAAATCAGTTCGCCTCTCTCTCGGTCGCCAACTACGAAGCGAAACGTCGAGTCTGAGAATACTGTAGAGGCTTAACCAAAGAACTCTACAGGAGCGAGAGTTGCATAGTTGGGTAGGCCAGATCGACCAGTGAAGTGGGAGCGCAGTGAAGGAAAGGAAGTTGCTCCAGGTCGGACTCTCAAATCATGATGGCAGTACCCCGGATACCAGTCGTGCACGGGCCCGCTACGCGTTTCCGTGGGAATTTGTAGAAAGACGTAATCATCTCGGACCGCGTTCTCGTACTGGAAGAAAGGAAGCTTGTCAGGTGAGTAATTTATCAATACCGTATGCCCGTTTGTTACTGTAATCATGTCCTGCTTGTCAAACAGCCGAAGTACTGCGTAAAACCGTTCGTCCCGGCGTTCCGACAATCCAATCGCAACCAAATCACAACCCAAATTCTTGAACCCGCCACAAAGGTGCATGGGTCGATGACGCAGCAGCTTACAGGAACAAATTGGAATGTCGGCGGTGAGACAAGACAATAGCGAGAGGAGAAATCCGTCACAACAGGCAGATGGATGTGTTTGATTTTGCTTTCATGAAGCTTCGAAGGAATACTGAGGTCACGGAGCATCCCATCTGGCGGGATGATTGGAGGTCGTATTTTTGCTCACTCACTACCATAAGTTGTATTTTCGGCATGACTGGTTGCGTTCTGACGAGTCATTCTTATAGAAGTATTCCTACATCGAGAAGGATACCAATGAACAAGCTTACACAGGCATAAATGTCACTTCACTTCACTATCTTCGTACGCTCCAGATGACAAACATGTACAATGCATTGCGGAATACACGTTGACATAGACGCCGTTCCCACAAGATCTCGTCTCGGATTGATGCAAGTTCATGCATTCTAGTGCTGTTACTATGCTTATCTGATTTAACTATCCTTCCATAGACAACTTGAGTCCACCCTCAACAACAGTTCTGTATCTATAAAACAGGTTACGGTGGCCAGTTCTGTGCCGATCTCCACCTTCAAAACTCCTCAATGGGCGCACGGTCCCCGACCTACTGCAACCATGATGCCTCACTGTTTACCCCCACGTCCCCATACCGAGAGATCTTTGAGATCTATCATAAAGCAGTTCCCAGCCATTCAAATCTCGTACGGAAAGCCGCCGATTCATCTGCCGGAAGTTACCACAATGACAACGGTGGCGAGTGCTTATTATGCACGTTAATCACCGGGTTTGTTTAAATGTCATCTACGGTGCTCATAGCCTAGGGATACAGGTTTACTACCATGCAACAAGCTCGTCGACGGCGATCACCTGCTCAGTCTCGGAGAAGTATGTGACCCATGATATATTGTGTCATTTACTTTGGACAAATATCTCGCTCGTCGTTACAACGCCATTACATACAATTCTGTCTGTGGAGACATTTCAATTCCATCGTTCCCCGGGATGGTTAGGGTTCCTACGAGTGGCTCTTCATTCAATTCTGGTGACTCTGAATTGGACAGCTACAACGCAGAGATACAAGACCCTGCGGATATAATGTCCGCCATTATCTGAGAGCCGCATTTCGCAGAGCCGAAGACAGGCCAGGTTCGTCTCTCAGTATTTCGCCTCGCAGCAATGAATGAGGGCATACGAAGGTCAGTATATATTAGAGCTCAGGCCATGATTCCCCATTTTTATAAAGTCAGAAAGTTATATTATACGTCTTTGGTACACTTCGGTATCCATTCCATCTCTGGCGTAGTGAGCGGATTCGCTACAAGTCACGGGGATGCCCGTTTGCACTTACGTTGATTCCCTGGGATGATGAAACAGCTCGGCAGGTGCCCCTAAAAATAGCACGGGGTATTTCAGCGTCGCTTGGAAAACCTCTTTCATCCAAACTGCGTTGGCCTTTTGCTCTTTGGTATCTCCCAGCCTTTCGAGGGAGCGTTTCTCGATGCCTACCAATCCTGCGATACTCGCGAGAGCACGACGTGCTGGTGAGGCCATTCAAAGAAAGGTCTGGCGTCGGTTCCCCATTCTATCTCGACTGTACTCATTCTGCGCATAGAAACAAGTCATGAAAGGCTCCGTTTCCGTTTTAGACGAGATTCCAGGTTCTCAAATTCTCCCCTCGTACATCGAGGTCTTCATGCGCCACCTTTCCCCCGACAAGGTTCCCTCAAACGATGGGGACTCGTCAAACAGTCCCTCCGCTATCATGGCAATGGCTTGTTTTCGAGCCATATGTAGGGGCCTCGACCGAGACTATTATCCAGGATCGGACTCGGACTTCGTAGAATTATGGCCAGGGATACGCGCTTGGAGTCTCCACTTCATTTCTATACGCACATCCAAGGATCTTTCGGTGTCTGGTTTAGGTGTTGATTTAACAGACATGAGGAATACGACTGCCATGTGCCTGCAATCCCTCGTCGGAATCGTCTCATACATGAAAATCATTTCTGCTGACGATCCGCTACACCCTCACCTTGTCGAATTTTGGCGCGAGTCATGCCTGTCACGTTGCCATACTGCTGTCCGTCATTTGAGCTGCTTGTTGCATTCAATTCTAGTTATGCAGGAAACGCGATGGGTTGGTAGGTCCCCGTTGGAAGTGGACCCAGCGGAGACGGCGAAGCTTTGCTTCAACTCGGTTTTGGAAGACTACGCTGACGGTGTTCGGTATGACGGTGATGACATGAATGGTTATTGTCTGAACTTCATGCTCGCCATATGTAAGTCACCGATTCTAGCAGAAGTGGCCATACATGAGGAAAGCGTAAGGTTTATATGCAGTCTCATGCGCCAATTCGCTGTCACGATCATCCGTCTCCCACCACCTCCCAATTCCAGACTTTTGAACTGGTTTGACAGCACAGTACATTTCTTACGCGCCAGTCTCTCGCATCCCACTCTCCCTATCTCCCTATAATCCTTGCGATGGTCGATAATCGCGTTTTAGAGATGCTTCTACGTATCTGGCCTCTTCTCCCGCCTGAGGAGGGTTACAGTGTGGAGCCCGTCATTCCCTCGATTATCGACAATATTACGCTCTATACCTCCTACAGATCAGTCACCAACGGTGTTATTCGTTCTATCATCTCTTTGGACAAGAAGGGTGTCGTTGTGGACATCAAAGATTATACGGCGGATATAGTTCGCGCTTGGTCAGATCTAAAATCGATCGCCCAAAAGCGTTATGCAATCAGGGGTGTGTGCGATAAACTACGCAGTGTCTGCTTTGCAGTGAGTCTGCCATTCCTAAGACATAACCGCTCTCTTCTCATTGCATTCTACATAGTGCCGACGCATATATGGAAGGAACATGCAATGCTGTTCCAGGTGCGAAAGCGTCCAGTACTGCTCTATGTCGTGCCAACGGACGCACTGGAAAACGGACCACAAAGCTAAGTGTATCAAATGTAAGTTCAAACACGTTCGAGGCCACCAGGCGATTCTAATCATATGTCAGCCAAGATTGGCTTGAAGGATAGGAAATACCTCGCCTACCTCGCTCAAGTCACAATCATCGAACACGACAGGACTCTTCTACCAATGATATCCGATTTCATGAGCGAATTCTCCATCACAGAGTGTTCTTCTCTGGCAATTGAAGTTGACCTGCGTGAGAACCCAATAATACCGAAGTTTTCAATAAAGAGGATTGCTGACATAGCTGAAGAGGCGGGGGCGATCAAACCGTGGTTCGCCGACAATCATCAGGGAGAGCGTGATGCTTGTGGGAGGGCGAGGAGAATTTTGCGTTCGACCCTTGCGTGCGTGCGTTCAACTGCGTTTGAATGCGTTCAACTCGGATGCGTTTGCGTTCCTTCGACGCGTTCAAGTGCGTGACCTGCTAATAGTTGGTCTACCTTCAAGAATAATACTACCATGTGTATTTATATGACGCACTTACCCACTTTCGACGTATTTACTGGACATGTATCGGCAGCTTTCTATGACATAGAAACAGTGTGAAACTATCTTGGAAAGCCATAAAGGCGTTGATTTTGTTGTAATATGTCTTAGAACATAATCCTCCTACTTCAGTATCATTTCGTGTTGAAATAGTTGTGAACCCTTGCATTTTTTGGACTTTTGGTAAACCAAACAACTTGTGTGCACCTCTCGAATCGACGCAACTCACTTACGCAACTCAAAAATAAGTCACGCATGGGTTAATAAATCGAACGCGAGCGTCATTGTAATAAACGCACGCGTTGCCCAAACTAACGCATGCGTTCGAGACAAAACGCAAACGAGAACGCAAATGTGACGATGGTTGTGATGGCGTGTCACATTTGCGTTAGGCTGTGTTGAACTCGAGTTGAACTGTGGTGGCTTCTCCCGTTGCACTTCATATGTGCTCGGCTACATTCTCCAAGCTTAAGAGAGATTCTCCAATGGATTCCTGATATATATATCTCACTATAATTGTTGTATTTTGGACTGTATCCTAGTACAATGCTATTGAGACCTCTAGTCTCTGGGTTACAAACTCGTGAAGAGTTTGCCCATTGACTTCTTATATTTATACTAAACTACGACTATTCTAGTAGTTTCCGTACAATCATTTTCTTACCAATCTCTTACTCAGCATGCCGGAATGCCGGATTGCCAGAATCGTCTCGCACTTTCCGACAATAATTTGCGGAAGCCTACCAAGATTTAGTTGAGACGCCTTGAACTGGTTCTCTTTCCTCCGATCTGTTTATATTGCTCATACTATTTTCATACCTCTAACATAGTCCAATATCCCTGGAAGCTCTCGAGACGTGTTTTCCGGAGGGAATTATCCACATGAGTGATCAGGTGGGTTCACACTTAATCGGGGAGAGTGTCCTTCTATGGGATGAGACCTTGTTGGCATCAAAGTACGGTGCTGAGATCTTTTACGAGTACATTAGACTGTTACATTCCGTCTATTTGATAGCTAAAGTACATAAAAGTATCATTACGCATGAACGCATCTTTGTCAAGTTCGCACACGCAAACGCAAGCGTGACAAATGCATGGGTTTAAACGCAACGCACGCACGCAAACGCGAACGCAGAATTCACCGTCCCCCTTGTGGGATAGTGCGGGTTTTAGCGCCTGGAGACTTTGATCAGTCTCATGTATTTCCGGCCGGGTGGACTATGGCGAAGTTGACAGCGTAGGGTGGTGATGGTTTAGGAAAACAGCCATTGATAACGTGTTCATTTTATAGTAATAATTCCTGCCTCTGATCTCGCTTGAGTGAGACGATATTAACTCCGGTTAATGTTCATTCGTCAGTTTATCGAGTCCCACACCAGCGTTTCCGCAGCCTGTGTGGTTCGGACCACCGAAGGAGGACCCACCTGAAGCATCGGAAAACTGAAGACGAATTATGAACAAGCGGCCCACTCCAATCATACTGTATCAAAAGAAGTTAGATCTAAGGAACAGAAGAAAGATCTGCTTGAAGCGAACGTTAATGGGTATGCTAGATCTCTTGAACAAATTTCGTGAGGGAAACAGGTGCAGTCGTATCGAAAGAACATCATTGCGTAGCGGAAGGAGTAACGTAGACACACTGTTCGGTGTTGGGCGTCTCATTATTGGCTTATGACCGTGAACAGTACACACGCAATCTCGAAGAATTAACAGCATGGTAGCTTTCAATTACGGCATACAGAAATACATTCTAAAATGTCGCACAGTGAATGAGAAAAGCTGACATCAAGCCAAACAATATTGACGTACCGCGAGATGCATACAAGCAACGTTGGTTTCATACACGATGCGTCCCATCGTAATTGTGTAATCTGCATCCCAAAAGTGAGATATGGCATCACACGAATGGAAGGAAGAGCTGACCCAAAACAAAGACTATCCACGTCGCTCATAGATGGGGATGAATGACCGAGAGTCGGATCAGTTGCGCTTAAGATCAATCTGAATAACGTGACGACATAAAAAGGAAGCCGACGCCGAAGAACGTTGTCGACGACTTGAGGTACTCAGGCCTGGTCACCAGATCGGGAGATGAGAACGGAATGTGGGTCCTCTCATATAAAACACACGGTGTAACGAGATTTACTCGTCCCAACTCAAATCAAACTGTATTCAAAGGAATTAGATTGAATGAACAGAAGAAAGAGCTGCCTGCACGAACGTTAATGGGAATGCTAGATCTCTTGAACAAATTTCGTGAGGGAAACAGTGTACTCGCATTGGAACAACTCCGTTGAGTAGCTGAAGGAGTAACGCGGACACACTGTGTCGGATTACAGCACCCGAATCTCGAACAATTCACAACGTGTTAGTTTCAATCGCAACTAACAGAAGTGCATTCTAAGATGTCATACAGTGAATGACAAAAGCCATCATCAAGCCAAATGATATTGACGTACACTGGAACAGCAACGCAGATTTCATACATGATGAACCCGTTGTAATTCCTTATTCTATAATTCTACATCCCACTTCCGGAATACAGGAAATGAAGGAGGAATTGATAGGAATCTGTCTCGCTAGAAATCTGGGAAGAACAGGCAGCGAGTGGGATGAGTCACGTTAAATATCAGCGGGGGCAGCGTCCAAACAACGACCTCAAAAGGAGATGGCTGCAGCGCCAGAACATGAAAATGAGAAAGCCTCGAGAACGACGAAGGGTCGTCACTCTCAACACTCCTTGGAGACGCTAACCCCTCTGTGCGCCATGAAGCTCCAATGCGAATGGAGAACTCAATCGTCATGGAGACGAAGAAGAAGACCTTTCACGGGGAAATAACGCTACTAACATACAGGAGAAACATCAGTAAACGATGGGTGATATTTGTGTTTCTGTAAACCCACCCGCAGTGAAGTCCCAAATAATCCTATGCTGCCGGATCGTTGGCCCTTGTTACACCAATTGCAAGGCGAAGTGTCGCATCCGATTCCGTGGTAGACGCTCAATTGAAGCATCTATAGAAGGACAGAAGCCGCACGGTCAGGAGGGACATCCCAGGTCGGACTCCCTATCACGACGGCAGTAGTTCCGACAGGATGTACATGGATCTGGTATGACGGGACCTCCAAAAACAATCACATCGTGCTTAGCTTGAAGAGGTGGATACAGGAAGCATATGCGAGTACTTGGCAGACTAATTCGAAGGAGTTGTGATGACTTGGCATCTGACAGGACCTCGACGTCGACGACATCCGGGGACCGTAGACGAATCTCTGCTGCAGCCGTGATAGGCTGGACGACATCCTCGAGTACCTATCGGGACGACGCCGCCTTCGTCGTTCAAAAATCTTACAAAGGCAGCGGTATAGTAGACAGTACGCATCTCATCAACCAGCCATCATATCAGAACAGACGGCCAATGAAAAATGGAAGACTCACTCCTTGGGAAATATCGAAACCTACTCTGTCGCACCCATCAGCGGTATACTCTACGACCCAGTTCCGAGGGATATTCTTCATCAGTGCGAGTAGTATTCAGAGCTCCGTCATTTTCGCATATTTCACGTGGCTGGACAGACGATACAAGACATCCGCTTGCTGGAGAAACGGTCGTCTTCCTTGGGAAGCATCTACGAACCCTTGGCAACGAAGTTGATTTGAGACTGGGAGCTGACATCACGATGTTGAAAACGCGTACATCTTCCCCGTCAATATGGCATAGTAGATGGCATATCACGGAGACTGCTAAAAGGAGCGATGTGAAGGGTTAACCAACAAGTGAAACACGGGCAGCATACATAGGACAAAACCATCGCAGAACTGATGCTCCGTGAGGTCCTGAGGTTTCCCTTTCGCTCATGAGCAGCAAGCTTGGAAGTTTTATGTAATTAATGTCATAAACGTAATGTGCAGCCGTCCAACGAGGAAACATAGAGGGCACGAACAAGGAGGTATCCAAAGTCGAAGGGGCTTTCTTTAGAAATTATACAGTCTTGACTCTGAGAATCAATTCCTGTCATTATGAAGACTAGCAATCAAAACCTCCGCCACGTACACTTCGCCTGAAGAAAAGATGTCCTCAATCCTCACCCTTGGTCCTTGACTCTCAGGGAGAAAAAACGATGTACCGTTCCGCACTGAGTATTGCAAGATACTAATAAACGACGGAAGGTAAGGAGCGACGAATCATGCAGTGGCGGAGGATAGTGGCAGAATGAGAGCCTCTTCGGGAATATCCAGCTCCCATCCGATCAAGCCCTTTCAATGATCGTCACCCACATGAACAAAGCAAAGCTGAGGTCAATATACTGCTACGTAATCCTAATCAGCCGCCTCACCGCAGGATATTTATTCTTTGTGATTGCCGTAAGTTTCCTTCTGGATCTTGTTCTGTCTGCACGATACATTGCAATACCTTGGAACAAGATTTGCACCAGGCTCGAGAAATGGCAGACAATGGGAATCGAACCACCAGCTGCAGAGACAAGGCGCTATTAACTGCTACAACGCGTGGTTAACAACAGCTACCGCCGTTAAACTCATCGATCATGAATTTGGCAAGAATGGCATGGTACCATGAATAGTCTGGCCGGGGTCCGGTTCGGTCCAGGTTCGGGCAAATTTGCCTGAACCTCGAACCTGAACCTCGAGGTTCACTCCCCACTCCCTCGAACCTCGAACCTGGACCTGAGGTTCAGGTCCAAGAGGTCCGGTTCAGGTCCGGTCCAGGTTCGGACCGGGTTCAGTAAAATTTTCGCTGTATATATTGGGTACCAGTAGAACTCACCAACTACGCTAAATATCTGAATCCACATCATCAAAGCAAGGTTGAATATCCATTCAAGCTTCATTCTGGGCACTCATGCAACCATCCCAATAAGCCTCCTTCAAGCGTTGCATGGTACCAGACTTCTCAGTGCCAAGGTTTCATCAATGAGGGTCAGAATCAGTATGGCTTACATGCGAGAAAGCACATTCTGATGGTGCAGATCATCCTGGGACAGCGAGATAGTTGCATGCCATAGCAGATAGCACCAGATACTCATCTTGATGAAGTGAAAATAGTTCGAGGTTCAGCGGGTTCGGACCGGGTCCGAACCGGGTCCAGAATTTTCAAACAGGTCGAACCTCGAACCTGGACCCAGATGGCTGT